GCAGTGTTGGTATATTATGCTAGTATGTTTAAATTTGCTATGATACTAATATTCTGAGAAAAACTGATTATATTGAAAATGTTTCTTTTATCTAAAAGAACCTTGGCATTCATAGTGAGTGGCCCAGTATTTTTTAGTAAGTGTTAAGTTATGCTTGTAAGGTATGGAAATTTGGAAGTATTGGATGTCTTTTTTGTGAAAACTTGTTGTGGAAAACGAGGATTTAGGTGTGGTAAAACCCTAGAACTTTCTACTAAGTCTTTAGGTGTGGTAGAAAAGAATCATGGAGAAAAATGGCTTTTGTGACAATGACACCAGTAATAATGCACAGTGAGAAAAATGACTCCCCAAAAGGAAAAAAAGAATCAGCAAAATAGCATGTTTATGATTTTTATGTAATAAAATTTTTCACACACAGAATTTCTGTAGCTGCCTTTAGTACCAGTGTTATTTTACATTTCTTTACCATTTTTTTTGCACTTTGTAATTTTATCATTATTACTAGACTGTTGTAATTTTTACTGTACCATTTAATTAACATAAATTTTTTTATTGGTGCCATTATTGCTAGTGTCATTTTTATTGATGCCATTATTACTAGTATCTTTTGATTGATGCCATTATTACTAATGTGATTTTTATTGGCACCATTATTACTATTGTAATTTTTATTAGTGCTAGTGTCTGTTGATTGATGCCATTAATACTAGTGTAATTTTTACTAGTGCCATTATTAATAGTGTCTGTTGATTAATGTTGTTACTAGTCATTTTTATTGGTGTCGTTATTGCGAATGTCATTTTTATATGTGCCAGTATTACTAGTGCCATTTCTTTCCACTGTATTCTTGCTGATGCTATTTTTACAAGACATCAGTAAAATGAGTAAATAAAATTTTTGGCTGTTTAATATAATTTTAAATTTCAGAACAAGAAGGTTATTATAGCTTTATATAAAGCTCTGATGAGTAGTAGTGTGTGTAGTTTTTAGCTCTTTTTACTACTGGTAATATATCAGTTTATTGGAAAGAGTTTAGAGATAGATAACTAGAATGATACCTGGTTTCAGTAATTTAAGCTATAAAGAGAGAGGCTGAAAGTTTTGACTTGCTTTCTCTGGAGTGTAGGAGAAGCAAGAAGAACTTGGTTCAGATGCTAAAGATTCTATATGGATTTTGAAAGTGCAAAAATGTGTTTTTGTTTGAGTGGTTAAATGGTAGAATTGGAAATACAAACTTGAATGGTGTAGTTTAATACTTTCACTGCATAATTTGAATATATCCGAATAAACTTTTATACCCACTGACTGCTAAATTCGGACTTACCCAATAGCTATCAAAAAGGTTTCTCTCTGTTGCGACATGCGGGAATATCTCCCTGTACTTGAAACAAACACCAAACCTGCAATCTGTGTTCTATGCTGTGAACCCCGAACCTGGATGTTTATTCACATAATAATATAAGAACACAATATCTTATATAGCAATTTGTGAAAAACCACAGTAAATGGAACAAACTGTCAGAAGTCTGATATTAGAGAAACTAGTTTTGACGCATCTTTTTCTATTAATTTTGCTTCAATATACCTCTTTTTTCTCAATTTGATTAAA